GTTTTTTCCCTTCTGTGTCAACAGAAGAATTATGAGAAGAATCAGAAGAATTATAAGAAACATCAGATTATCTAATACAAATATTTAAAATTAACTCTTCAAAAAGAGTATTTGTTCTCGAGTTACCAGGAGTCCATGCTATGGCCACTGGTAAAAGAACATTACTATAGAAAGCAGAGACCCCCCCCTCCATGGAGCGACTGGTTGATGTGACTATCATTTCAGTGGCGTATGTAGGAAAACAGAGATTATACGATGAGTCAATAAAGATTCTCAGGATTTTATAAAAGCCCAACTGATCCCTTTGGCTGGAAAAAGAACAGAATTTAAATTAATGTGATTACTGCCTTATTGTACAAATTGATTACTTAAAACTAGTCCTTACTGTCCACAGCTGATATTTCTATGATTTCTTTCTGCTCAATTTTAAGTAGTTTAGAGAACATCTATAAGTTATTCAATTGGCTATGCTTATATTTTACTTTACAAATAATGTCATGATCAACTAAAAACAAGTATCTCACTATTAGGGATCTGTTAGGTAAGTTCTTTTTTAACCACAATAAAAAGAGTAACTTCTGGCTTTTTTCTTATGTACTTCTGTGTTTTTTCAGGGTGCATATGCATTATTTTTATAGCTCAAAAACAATAACATCCTTTTTGAAGTGATTCGAGATCATCTGTGAATAAAGGTAGAAAGCCCACTTCTCTTCTCACCCAAGTCATGTCTAGGTGTGGCCGAGCCAGGTGGGAGAGCACAGAGCGGAGGAAGAGGGATCTTGTTTTTTTTCTTATTAGGCCAAATTCTGCAAGTAAGTACCTGTGAGTGTACTTTCCCAGTTTTTTCTAATCAGCTCTTCCAAAATTTCCACCACATTTTTCCAGACATGATCAAACACTTCTGTTGCCACCGCATCTTTGATACAGTCGTGAGGGGAGACGGGAGGAAGTCCATGTTTCTGCGATTTCCTGCCGTGGTGAGCTGGCTTTTGTTCAAGACAGTCATCATCACTAAGGAAAAAACCCATTCTAATTACTAAAAGTATCAATGGTTAGAGTTAAAATAATTCTATCTATCATGCATGCATACATGTATGTACATTTATGCATATAGATAACATTCACTCTTTTTAAAGTAGCACATTGGCTTTAGGGAGAGTTTTTTTCTTTTATGAGACAGGATCTCACTCTGTTGTTGCCCAGGCTGGAGTGCAGTGGAATCATCATAGCTCACTGCAACCTCCAACTCCTGGGCTCGAGGGATCCTCCTGCCTCAGCCTCCCCAGTAGCTGGGACTACCACAAGTGGCTGATTTTTCTATCTTTTTGTAGAGATGGGGTCTTTCTCCCTCAAATGATCCTCCTGCCTCAGCTGGAGCCACCACGCCTGGCTGGTTTTTTTTTTAATATACACAATTTTTACTTGTCAATTATACCTTAATAAAACTGGGAGAAAAAACAAAACAAACCAAAAAAATCCCCAACTCCTAGTTTCCTTGCTCTGTCCTATTGTTTTTTTTCCCCTTATCTATTTCATTTGTTTCTGCTCTGATCTTTGTTATTTCCTTTCTTCTACTAACTTTGGGCTTGGTTTGTTCTTCTTTTTCTCATTCCTTCAGGTACAAACTTAGGTTGTTTATTTGAGATCGTTCTTGTTTCTTAATGTAGGCATTTAATGCTATGAACTCCCCTCTTAAAACCACTTTTCTGTGTCCCATAGTTTTGGGTCTGGATTATCGTGTTTCCACGTTCATCTGTCTCAAGATTTTTTTTTAATTTCCCTTTTGATTTCTTCTTTGACCTTCTGGTTGTTCAGTGTGTTGTTCAATTTATACATATTTGCTAGTTTTCCAGTTTTCTTTCTGTTATTGATTTCTAGTTTTGTACCATTGTGGTCAGAAAAGATGCTTGATATGATCTGAATCTTCTTAAATTTGTTAAGACTTGTTTCGACACAGTGTTATTTTTTAATGTACCAATTTTTAATCACGAGGCACATTTTTTATCATACAATATTTGTAGCCTTTCTTAAAAATAAAATATGTATTTAGTGCAGAGACTAGAACTTCCCCTTTACCCTTTTGGGCAGCTACGTATAGAATACCTGGAGCCCCTGGGCATGACGGCCACTAGCAGCCTTGTCTACTTGCACTGCACGCAGGACATAATTCTTGTTTCCAGTCTGTGCCGTGTCGTCAAGAATAAAGGGACACATTGCTCTTGCATATACACTCCCTGCTAGAAATCTAAAAACTCTGGGGAGTACATTACTCTCAAAAGAATAGAAATCTTTCAGATAAGTAAAGGATATACAAAACACTAAATGAGCATATAATAAAAAATAAATGTCAAATAAATTAATATTATACTATGAAGTCAATGTCAAATAAAATTCCATTTACTTCTCTTTTCTATCAAAAGCAAAATACTCTTCGATCTTTCCATCTGCATCATAAACCTCTTCTTCCAGGGATGGATGTGCCGTTAGGTCAGCAACCCCTGTGCCATCAAGGCCTGGCAGGGCAGAGGCTGAGAGTGCTGCTGGGACTATCTGGGAGCCAGAGATGCACAACCTATGCGGAAAAAAAAACAACAGATTCCACATGGGAGTGTGTAGAACATCAAAAATGCAATGCTTGCATAATCGTGGTGCATCTTTAAATTAACATGAAGTACAGAATTCCAAATTTAAAAAAATCATTAAATATTACATTTGACAAAGCTCATGTCCTTTAAAACATTTTAATACAGGCATCGTTTAAAAATTTTAAGGTCTTCTTAAAAGCCTAAATTATTCTATGATTTTGTATCGTCTTTGGCTATAATGAAAGGATGTCTGAGCACTGTCTCCAATATGTATGAATGGCATAAAGAGATATCAAAGTCCGTGAGTGAGCAAAAGAAAACAGGATAGGGTTTTATTTCTTCTGTTTCTACTGCCTGGAGGCTTAGGATGCATCACAATCAGGCAGTTTTTGATTCTGCCTCCACCTTTCACGGTGCCTTTGGGATGAAAGAAGGTTGACGTTAACTACCTTGTATGTGTGCCTATGTGTATTCCATATATACTTTACATACATACATACATACACACATACACACATGGATATACATGTGTCGTCGATTTGGAATCAGAAGACCTGCCCTTCACTGAAATCTAAATTTCCAAATCTGGTGGAGTCAAGGCTAATGGCTGAGTTAAACATGAAAAAGTACAGCTAAAACACAATTAGAAACACCTTCTGAGAGTCACTTATGCGAACTTACTCTCTGACACTGCTGCTGCGTTCACGGGCATCAAGTAAGGGTTTGTGGCCCGCGGGACCGGGCGTGCAGCCCTGGAAGTGCCGGAACCCTTCCTCGGCTGGCGGCATCAGCTGCCTTCCTAGTACTCTGCAAGGCAAAGAAGAAAGTAAGAAGCTACTAACATTTCTGATTAGACAAGGGAAAAAGGGTTTGAGATTTTAAAGGTAGGACACAATAACCATTTTGATGGCACCTGTGTGACGCGATAAGGTACGTACAGGCACAAGGGGAGCGTCCTGGTGACACAAAGGAAGCGCGGCTCTGAGAGAGCTTGAGAGAGCAGCCAGGCTGTTCTCACCACTGACTGGGTCTTGAGGCCAAGTTCTCAGGCTCCCTAAGCCACTGATTCCGTTTGCTTGTCTTTCATATGCAAGATAAAATAATAAGCGTTGCCTTGCCGGGCTGACGAGTGGCTTAGATATAGCGCCGGTCTGTCAGACTCAGGTGCCTCAGGCCACGCTCTCTATAAATGTTCGCTAGCATATACACAATGAATAAATACATGTAAGTATGTACACTTGGCTTGTGTACCTTTTGCTCTTTTTGCACCTTCCCTCCTTTATTTTCATCTTAGCTGTGTAAGATAACAGTGTCAGGAATAAGTCTGAGCTCCTGAGCTTCGGTAAGTGCATCGTGCTAGCAAAATGAACAGCCAGGATTGATATCTAGTGGGCGCTGTACACGCTTTAAGGCAGGCGGCTTATGAAGGATGCAAAAGGAAAAAAAACACACCTACTTAGTCAAGATTTTTTAAAAAGTTATCTAGTTGAGGTAACCAGAAAATCCATCTAAATTTACATGAGTGTTCTAATTTATTGTCCCCAAATATAATCTAGAGGAACTTTCAGATAACTGGGATAAACTTTCTCCTACATAAGACTGGCTGAGTGACTGAAGGAAGAAAAGCTTTCCTTCATACCCAATCTATAGTCTCCATCATTTATTACACTTCATCACATAAAGTGTAATAAAGGATCCCCCACATAAGAAATGGGGTGAGAGCAAAAGATTCACCTATCCAGTCATTCAGCAAACAATCCCTGCCCACCTGCATCCCTCACACTGTTCCCGTGGTGAGGGCAGACTCATGTTGCTGGTGTACTATTGAATGTGAAGGTAAAAAATGACTTTTATCATCCTTGCATATGTTACATACGTAATGTCTTTCTGAGCTAGATTTGCTCGTTACAAACTAAAAGGCACTTGAGTACTGGAATGTCTCAACAGTTCCTCAGACACCAAAACAAAGGGCATGATTTCTCAGTACACAACTGCGTTCTGGATAATATTTCGACCGGGTAAGTGCTTCCAGTCAAATGTATGGATTGCATTAAACCAAGTCAGGAGTGCGCAGTCCAAAAACCCATTCCAGAGAATTCTGTGAACAAGATCCCTACCTCAGATGGAGGGACCTTCCTGCCCACTCATTGCATTCAGCCAGTAGATTGTGTGTCTGGGGGCTTACTTTCCCTTCAAACAACATTTCCTCGACCTCCCAGAATAACTGCTGCACTTTCTGTGCATTGGCTTTGTCAAATTCCTGAAACAGAAATACACACTGAGTTGTAACACTAAACGTGACAGAAACATGGGCTTTGCAATCAATGATATTTATAAATTTAAAGTAACCCATTATAAAGAATGGAGTATAACATGGTAAAAAGAATGTGGGCTTTGCAGTCAGACCTACCAGTGCTCCCGTTTTTACTTTTCAGATAAAGTATAATATATCTTGTTCTGAGCCTCAGACTCTGTAATTGTCCAACAGAGGTCATTCCTACCACGTGAGTTAGAAGATTTTACATAGATACAGTTAAAGGTGTAGATATTCATACTGACACAGGCATCAATACAGACACACATACACACACCTACATATCTATGCACACACACGCACAGTCATATGTCACACATATAGTTGTGCCTGACACACTTAAGCATATCTGTAAAATACAAGCTATTTTTTTTTCTGATGATACCACAGAAAAGGAAATAATGTTTGTAGAAAGGGCCATTAACCTTCTTTTAATTGATGACGCAGAAAAAATTTAAAAATTCTTACTTATCTTAATAAGTGTACTTATTAGGGTTAGGCCAGAATATTAATTTTTCCTCTGACCTTGAGATTCCTGCACTGTGGCTACAGTGAACTGTAGATGAGAAAACCTTTCCGCCTTCCTAGCTGGTCTTGGTTGGGAGGTAACACTCCTAGAGCTCTCACAGCCAATAAGGAAAGTAGAAACACTACTGTAATCGAAAGAACCAACACTACACAGGTTGGCTCCGGGACAAGAGTCCCAGCCTTGTTTTCTAGGAGTATGTGAATCTGAGATCTTATTCACAACTCACAGCAACAAAGCACATATTCAGTCTGATATACTTGACCGCAAATGGTCAATCCAGGTTGATTTTCACAGAATACTATTCACTGGTTTCTGTGTTAGTTCTTCTCTCAAATTAATAGTAAACTAGATTCCCACATTATAGGGGAGACGAATTATTTCTTTTAAAATGCAAAGAAGAAGAAAACTAATACAAATAGTTATCTTCTAGGAGGGGTCTGAGTGGCTGGGGCATGGGAGAAGGCTCGCTTTCATTTTTTCGATCTTTTGCATTTTGTTGCTTTTGCAAATATTTCCCATCAAAAAGTAAATAAATTTTTAAAAATTAAAATAAAAGCAATTGTAGGATCTGGAGTATTTTACATTCTATAAATGGAATTCATAAGATTCTCCCAGGTAATTCCATGAAATTCTGTACTAAAAAATTCCTAGAATTTGGACAATCTGAAGCAACGGCTCTTGGCCTTGTCCCCATGGGCACAGCCATGGGGAAAGAGGATGTGAGAGAGGGTGGCAGTGAGTGGGAGGCAGGGTGGGGAGGGGGCAGCTGATCCTAAATGAGGGAGTCACATGTTTGCATGTTTGAAAAGTCCTCTGAGCCATTCTGAGCTGACTCCCTTCCAGACTCCTCTCCAATGCCCCTCCCGCTAGCACTCCTTTGAGAATCAGCACTGCATAGCTGCATAGGGAAGGAGATTCAGATGTGCTGGGGGGAGTGTGGAAATGCTTTTAAAGAAAGCGAAGAAAACCAAAAAAAGCACACACAGGAGGTAAAACAGAACACCCAATGCGCTGGAGCCAGCTGGGCTTCCCAAAAGGCCGTGTCCCAGGACTCTCTGAGACACATGAGGGGAGAAAGAGGCAGGAGACTGTAGAGTCCGCAGTTCCTACCCAAAGCTGGGGCTGCAGAGTGCAAGCTCACCCAGGGAGATGCCCACTCTCACAACGACAAAAGCAAAGTCGAAGTTAATAGCTTCCGCCAGGGTTAGACAGTAAAGGTGAAGTATCTGACTTAGGATATTGGGCGGAAATGCTCTAATCATGGTGGCGTTTCACAGTTTTATTTGGAGTTCTTCATTGTCTATCAGCGTTTATCCTGAATTTCCAGCCACAGACACCATACAAGTCATGTGGAACGTTTTATCGGGGCAGGGTTGGGGTGTGGAAAAAAACAAAACTATCTACAGCTGAGACTGCCCTACGACATTACGACTGATTTTTATTTTTCTCTATATTTAGCTATTTTAATATTTTTACATGTAATATGTAAATGCTTTTATATGTCTGTATGTGTTGCTATATAATAGGTAACATTGTTATAATTGGTAAAATAGGTACTGTTTTTATAATTGGTAAAAAGACTTTTTGAACAAAAGGAAGCAATTTGTCATTGTAAATTGTAATTACAAGATTACCCAAAATACTCTGAGACATACATCATCTCTCCAAGAATAAACTGAGCTCCTCTCGGTAGACAAGCCAGGGGTAGAGCTCTGTGTTGCAGACCCAGACCAGGAGCTGGGGGCTTCTGTGGGCGTGCGGCTTCCGCTGGACGAGAGTGGTGACGGGGACTCGCTGTAGGGATGGACGCAAACAGAAAGAACACTTACCAGAAGAGGTTACACTGCTAAGTGGTGTCACTTCTCTGAGCCCACTTTCTCTTTTTTTTGTTAAATACGTTTGTTAATTTCACAGTACACTAATTTTAAAATATTTCTGCAGTGCAACATTTTCCCTAGGTTAAAAATAAAACTGCATTTTACTGATGCAAGTTCACAGCTAATCACTGATTTTGTTTCCCACATCTGGTATGGGCATTTTGTGATTTTTAAATCAGAAGCATTTTATAGGTTAATTCTTACCAGGTATATTTATTAATGGCTTTCTGCACATTTCTTGTAAAATGCGTAGGTAAAGGATCTTTGCTTTTGACAGCAAAACTGTGCTTTCTATGTCCTTCGGACAGTCCTCTTCTGAAAAATAAAATAAAACATGAAAAGTCTCCCTAACATAATAATATAGTTTTAGTCATTAAGACTTTTAAAGTCTTGTTTGCATAAAGTTGCTCCTCTTTTTCTGCCATGTCCCTTAAATACACGTGCACGCACGCCCCTGCCCTGACATCCTGAAGAAACTGAGGCCCAAACCTTGCCATTTTTATTTTTCTTAGAATCAAGGTTGCTATCAACCCACATACACCTTTATGTGAAATGGTAACAACAACTTTTTGTGACAGCCGGAGACGTAAAAGTTGCTCCAAACAGCTGATGGTATTTCAGACACAGCCTTACTGCAAGGCCTAAGGCTTGGCAAGTGCGACATGGGCTGGATTTTAGGTCCCCGTTGTCCCTTGACCAGGCCTTCATACTTGCAAAACCCAACCAGGCCTCCAGTAAAAAAAAAAAAAAAATCATCAAGCCCATATTAATTCTGAAACATATTAAATTCTTTTGAGTCACTAAAAACTACACAAACATCTAACTCCTTTTACTTTAGCACTGTTGTTTGGTGTGTATCCTGAGTTTGAGAGCGTTAGGAAATATTAAAATTTAATGGAGAAATAAAACAGAAGAAATATCTAGATTTTAAATAAGCTATTAAACCGTTCATGTTAATCATTCAATGAACCTCTTAAAACATTTACTTCCTTCTAGTCAAAACAGCTCCCTAATGTTTAACAGTCAACAGCTTTCGTTCTTTGAATAGAAATCTCATTTCCTCAAAGAAATAAAATATATTGATATGATAATGAATTAGAAAAAAACACTTTCAACTTTCAATATTTCTAATAAGGACACCACTATAGCATCCATTAAGAAAAACGTTTGGTTTTGCTTTCAATTAAAATGATACCTAATTTTCAACACTTGTATTTTTTAATGTAAATGGAATAAATTCTGTTTTAAATTATGTATCGATAGTACTCTACAACAAAGGGAATTTTAAAAACAAATTAATTACTATAAACAGAGATTAGGGAGAATCTTCCTAATAGATGTATCTTCCATAGATGTGCCTTCCATAGATGTATCTTGTACAAGAGAGAATGATAGAACTATGATTTTTTCCTCTCTTTTTTGCTTCTATGTCTTAAGTACAACCAAGCAATTCTAAGGATAAAGACGTTAAAGAAAGTGTACCAGAGAGAAGAACATAGAACAAGCTTTTATGCTAACAAACTGCTTTACCTTCAACCTTCCTCAGTTGTTTTTAAGCCATTAATTATTTATCCTTTACATGTAACTCAACAACTTTCTAGGTAAATATAAAAATACTTAATGACAAAAGAAAGCAATCAGCAGTCAACTAAAGAATTACATCAAATAGATCTGTTTTGAACATTAAGAAATACACACTGGTATATGAGTTAATATGTTATTGAGAAAAACTTTAAAACTCAGTGTGAGTTACCTAAAACATTGTCCTTTTATGATACATATCTATATAATAATAAGAGTCGATTTGAATTTGCTCTGTCATTGATGCTTTGATCAAGTGACTTTTTCTCTTTTGGACTCAGTATTATCCATGTCTGTAAAACAATGACAGTACTGCCAATTTTTTTATACTATTATGAGACTTAAAATGGATAAAGTATATGAAGTGTTTATATAATCAGTGCTACATAAATCCAGTTTACCTGCTCACTGCTCTTATTACCATATGCTACTCTATGATAAAGCACTGTCTCTTGTTTCTTTGTACCACCCATAGCATTTCGTATTACATAGACCTCTTCACATTTTAACTTTTTATTGTGATATTCACACCTTATTCATTTTTTAATCTGTAGCATCTAAAACAATCCTTGTCGTACAAGAGGTGCTTGCTATGTTAGTTGAAAGAATCAATAGGTGAAGATTAAATTAGTGACTCAGACACAGAACATGTTTTTGCTCTATACTCTAAATGTTTATGCTTAAAACAAATGATTACATGGTGATCAGACATTAAAATATTCTCCAAATTCAAGACATTTTTGTGAGAAACTTTTACTTTTTATAAGGAAAGAAAAGTCACAGCCCTTCTTTGAGTAGCTGATATCCCAAATATGACTTTTACCCCCGAATGGAGCCTCTGCTCCTGTCATGACCACTTTCCTTGCTTCTAGCTCCTCGGCTGCCTTGTGTGCAACTTGAAAGCTAAATTCACTAACGGGACGCTTGCTGATTTGTTAATTTTCAAAGAACAATAATTTCTTCCTCCAGAAAATACACTCCTTTTGTGGGAGAGTGAGGGGTTTAGCGGGAGGAGGTCTTTCGAAACTAAGTAGAAACTTATTTATAAAGTGGAGGAACCAATTCTTCTCTTTACATTACACCATATCCTTTCCAAGGTCAGCATCCCTACCCACTTGGAAGTGTAGCTGAGGACGGGTCTCATGTGGGAAGCCTGGCAATGATCACAGAAATGACAATGAAATGGATGCCTTAAAGCACTGCCCACTTCCACGCCTTTTCTCCATCTTTTTTCTCCTCTGCTCTTCGCCTCCTGATCTCTGCCTGAGGAACTTCTTGAACTTCAGAGTTCAGTGTAATGACATATAAATTTGACCACACATTTCAGAAGATACTGGGTGCAGAGGCATTTGAGCCCAAAATACAATGACTGCCCCAGGTCACCAAGACAGTAGGGATGGACTTTGTCCCAGGAGCCAGGCCACCGACTTGCACATACT